TTGTTAACCATCAATGTGGAGTATTATTTGGCAGACGGCAAGGAGCCTATCATGTCCTTTGATGTATGTATGTATGTATAAAATGCACACTAAAATTATATTTTTAAAACAACTTATGCACAAACATATATGTACATAATTCTGGCACTTACACGTGTGAAAGTAAACTCACGCACACAGACACACACACAGACACACACTAAGAATATGAGCTGTTAAAAGCTTTTAATGTCGAGGGGGGGGTAAAAGGGTTTACAGCGGCAAGTGAAATTGATTTTTCTCTTGCGTCTGTATGTGTGTGTGCGGCCCTTTGGCGGGGGTGTGTCACATGCACTTGACCGTTTTTTTTTGTTTGCCGTTAAAATCGCTGGCATTGTTTTTACGCTCCTAAAAGTTGGGTGGGTGGCGGCGGGCGCATTGCACTCGAGCTTGGCAGCCTGGCAGTCTGCATGTGTCCAAGACCTTCAAAATTGGATATGTGTGCGTATGAATTTACTTGCGACTATTATATCACAACGCGTCTCTGCTTAATACCCTTACGGAGAGCACTATTATGTTTACATACTGTTTGTACAGCAAAGCGTGGTTATTATTTATGCGAGCTTAATAAATTAATAGAAGATTAACTTAAAAGTAAGCTAACTATTTTATTCTATATTTTATATCAATGTTTGACAAATCATTGTCAACGTTCGTGTTAAATTTAACAAACCTTTTCATGCGCCAGAACTTAGGTCAGGGTATGCGCGCTTCGACCCGGCAGCATTCATGCTCTCTATCTCGCTCTGCGCTTCCTCTCTTTCGTAGAAGCACGTGGGTGCAGCTTTGAGTAAATGTTTTATTGATTCTTGAAATGATTTCTGCGCCAAAACAGATGCAATTCTCTATAAAGTTGGCTATTTAAACAGACGTATATGTGTATGGGAAGCGTTATCAGTCGCATATCGCACCTGGTCTGGCCGGCAGTTTACGCATTTTGGCTTAGACGGCAATTCACAAGTTTGCACTGTATACGATATAAATTTGTATAAAATATATGAACACATGCATTGGGAATACTTTCCATTTTCGTAAGAATTTACAAACTGAACTATAAATAGTAGTTTGCGGGGCTGGCTATATATATATATATACATATATATATTCCTCACGCTAACAAGAGTTGCTTGAATAGTTTGTGGCCGAGAAAACTTTCTCAAAAACGCGCTGAGAAACCTCACCTGCTTAAGCAAATTATGTATTTGTTTTCATTTTGTTTGTTCGCTTTCATTTGCCTAATTTATTGACTCGAAACACAGCATTTACATTTGCAATTTGTGCTTGTTACCCAGTCAGGAACTTGTTATAAGCCTAAATAAAAAGACAATTACAATTGCAGACCATGCGTACAATGGAGCTTATACTGCGTCAAAAGTTAGATTCCGATCGATCCAAGTATTTACCGCCGATAAAACGTGGTGGATATATTGACATATACATGACTAGCTCAGGTTGGTCGAATACATTATTTAAACAAAATAAAACTTAAAACAAAAAAAAAAATTAATTTAGTTTTTGCTAGTTCTATATGCAACATATAATGCAGTATATCAAGAGTTATGCAATCCTTGTATTTACTCGTATATCTTCCTATGCCGAATTCTCTCTTCAAAATCAATTGCCAAAAACTTGCAACTCAAGCAGTGCAAAAACCAAAAAATTAATTATACACTTTTTACATCCAATTGTAATTGAATTCAATTCGACAATATATAAACTCATATTCATCAACTATTTGGTTGCACGGGCCCTAGCCAAAATATGGCTCTATAAATTCGCAAACGGCTTGTCAATCGCATACACCAAAACCCAGAGCGTTTTTTTTTTTTCAATATACATTGTAGTCCATGTAATATAACTCGGTTAGCTAGCTAGCTTACCTCTAGAAATTGCCAACTAATTCCGGCAGTTCTTGCATGCTTGTTACGTCGTGCTAGAAATCCAATCAAAAAGATAATAATAACAAAAACAGCGTATTATTTATATTAATTTAAAGAATTCTCAATTATTTTTGATTTATTTTTTATAAACTCTTTTTTATTTTCATATCCATGAATACACAACTGAAACCCACACGATGTCTTTGGTCTATCTACTATTCATCATCATCATCATCATCAACATTAATTGCCATGAACCAAATTTCTTGAATTATACAACAAACCAAAAAAAATATAAAAACCAAATTAAATTGTACGTACGCCCTATGCACATGTGTCACCTGCCCCGCTCGTTCGTTCGCTCTCATGGTACCAACAACAACAACAACAACAACTTTTACTACTACTATGTAAAACAACAACTCCACCTACCACCACGTACATTATAACCACCCAACTGAGCAGACTGGCAGACGTTTGGAAAATGCCATAGCCACTAAATTGAATGCCCTTTCGGGTCAAAAGATACCAACATTGAAGCGTGGCGATGTCGCTAGGTATTATCCATCTGCAGGTAACGTATACCGTAATACTCTACTACTATCATATTGAAAAACTATAGAAGCTATATCATATATCTCATAAGTAGTTGAGCAACTTAAGCACTGCGTACAAATACATTATAAAAGGCACAGAGCATGATGCATACTTACATTTAAAATTCGAAATATATTATTTACGTTCAATATGTTTTCGTTTGATCTTAACTTTACTTTGGAGTTAATTCCATGTTCTTTGATAAACTGTTAATTTACGTTTAAACATTTGTCTGCATGCATGTAATTATATGTATATATAAGCCCTAGAGTATTGTAATTGGCAATAGCTATAGAACTATAAACTTGTATAATATATTTAATGCCTGTACTCTTCGCAGATGAGCGCATTATTGAGTACGACATTGATACCCTAGTCTATGAGGCGCGTTCCCCGTTTCAGAAGATTCAAATCATGCACTCCAAGACGCTGGGCAATATGCTGATTCTAGACGAATTGCAGAGTAAGTCGAGCAACAGGCACGCACACATGCGCCCAGTTGCACGTAAATTTGCAACCCCTGCAATGCCACCATGATAAAATTAGGGTCAAGGCCTAATTGGTGCATGGCACGTGTCTGTTGTTGCTGCTGAAATAATAAAAATCAATTTCGTGTACTAAAATCTTTGACTGTTTACAGATATTGCCGAGTCGGATTTGATCTACACAGAAACCCTGATGGGCCGTGGCATTGAGAACTACGAGGGCAAGGAAATATGTATTCTAGGAGGCGGTGATGGCGCATTACTCTATGAGCTGCTTAAGGAGAATCCAAAGCATGTGGTCATGCTCGAAATAGATGAGCTTGTCATGCAGGCCTGCAACAAGTATTTGAATACCATTTGTGGTGATGTCTTGGAGAAGCGCAAGACAGATCAGTATGAGATCATAGTGGGCGATTGTGTGGACTATATGAAAAAGTTTATTGCCGAGGGGCGCAAGTTTGACTATGTGTTTGGCGATCTAACTGACATACCCATTTCGGATGCACCGATTGGCGAGTGCTGGGATTTTATACGCACCATCTTTGAGCATTCGTTCCAGCTGCTCAAGCCAGATGGCAAATACTTGACTCATGGCAACGGCACTAGCTGCTTGGAATCGCTGCAGTTGTTTGAGGATCAGCTACGTTTGCTAAAGCCCAAGGTTAAGTTTACCACAACAAAGGCGTTTGTGCCGTCGTTCATGGAAGAATGGCTCTTCTATCAAGTAACTTTCGCTTGACCAGCTCAAACGGAAGCTGAAACACAATTAAAGCTAACGAGTAGTACGAACTCAACAACAGCACTAACAACAACGAACACATCGTGTCTCCACAACGCTATCTCCAGCACACAACACGTTCTCACACCCGCAACACAAATCGATCAAATCGAGCTCAATAACAAGGAGCCGCTGATACTGCACAGCTACACCGTGATATTGCATGCTGCTAAATCTGAGCAGTTGCCACAGAATCTACACAAGCGTGTGCCACGTCGTCAGAGGCGTGTGCACTATCACCATGCCCTGGTTTCCTAGTGGAGGCTATTCAAATGTAACCAAAAAGACAAACGAACTAATTAGCATCACCGACATCACACAAAAACAACAAAGAAACAACAAACAGACTTCCAAGGGCTGTAACTAGCATCTGATAACCAAACCAAATATTTAAAGTCCAATTGATATAATTTAAGTTAGGATTTAGTTGTGTTTTACGTTCATTGATTTTAAAACTAAAACTAAGTCAGGCTCAGGCAGAGGCAGAGGCGAGAACAACATATGTTTTGTACTTAATTGTGCTTATTTAACATTATATTTAATATCTAGTACTTTCTTAAACATACATAATATACTTATATGCTTACTTATATATATATATATATATACTTAGAATTCATGTATTTAATTTTCAAGTAGGCACTCAAAAGTGTGTGGATGCGAAATTTAGTGTTAGGAGTATAGCAGATAGCTGATGTTACTTGATACGTTTGAAAAAAAAACTATAATAAAAAGTCGTACTCAGAATAAACAATTGTTTTATTCCGTTATTTGCTATTGCAAAAAAAGAATGAGGTTGCAAGATTTAAAAAAAAGTACTTAAATGATTTAACCTAATTAAACCTAGCCCAAAAGTGTCATTAACTTTGGGCTAGATTATTCCATTTAACTATATTTTTATAGATCCCATTTTTGGATAGAGATCAAATATAGCCCGCATCTTGTATATGAAAATATGTATGAATTAACAAATTTTCAGCACAACGGGCAATTGTAAATAAACAGTTGAATGTGCACTTACCTTTGACACAAACTTTGGCAGGACGTTGGTTGGGAAATTTGGGGAACCGTGAATCACACAATCGATCAGTTTCTTTTTTGAATTTCAGTTTAAAACTGCACAACACTTTTGCATTACCGCGCGCGGTCACACACAAATCGATAAATCGCGACGGCATCGATAGGAATCGAGGGCAATAATCGATGTAACGATAGACGATTGCTCAAATAAAATAGAAAGCAAATTTCGTTTGCGAAACGAAGACAGCAGTTGCGGAACTAATTGAGCAAAAAATGGATCGAAAACTGCACAGCGGTATACATCATCCTACGCTGCGGCTGCTGCAGGAGTCTGGCTGTGAAATAGTGCCACACAACCTGATGTATCCTGTCTTCATAATCAGCAACGACGATGAGGAACAACCCATTTCGAGCATGCCGGGCATATCACGCTACGGCGTGAACCGATTACGCGAGCACTTGGAGCCCCTGCTCGAAAAGGGTTTGGCGTCGGTGTTGCTCTTTGGCGTGATAGAGTGCGACCTCAAGGATGAGCTGGCCTCCCATGCGGACTCGTCGCTGAATCCTGTGGTCCAGGCATTGCCCAAGCTGCGCAAATGGTTTCCAGATTTGCTCATAGCCTGTGACGTGTGCATCTGTCCGTATGCCTCGCACGGCCACTGCGGCCTTCTGTCCGACAATGGCCTGGAGAATGCGCAGAGCATCAAGCGGATAGCCAACATTGCGGTGGCCTATGGCAAAGCTGGCGCTCACATTGTGGCCCCCTCGGACATGATGGACAACCGCGTGCGAGCGATTAAACAGGCGCTGATTGACGCCAATCTGAACAGCGTTTCACTGCTGGCCTACTCGGCGAAGTTTGCGTCCAACTTCTATGGCCCCTTCAGAGAGGCAGCACAGTCGGCGCCAGCTTTCGGAGATCGTCGCTGCTATCAGCTGCCCAGTGGGTCGCGCAATCTGGCCATGCGGGCGGTTCAGCGTGATGTCAGCGAAGGCGCCGACATGCTCATGGTAAAGCCCGGCATGCCCTACCTGGACATCTTGCGCCAGACCAAGGACACATATCCATACCACACCCTGTACGTTTATCAGGTGTCTGGCGAGTATGCCATGCTATATCATGCTTCCCAGGCGGGCGCCTTTCCATTGCGCGAAGCGGTGCTGGAGTCAATGAAGGGCTTCAAACGTGCCGGTGCCGATTGCATTATAACCTATTTTACGCCCTATCTTCTGGATATAATCAGCAAATCGGCGTAACACGGCAACAGGACAATACGAAATGTGGCTCTCTCTTGGCGTTCAAGTGTACTTAGACAACCTCAAAGAAACAATCTAGTTTTAAGTCGAAAGCGTGCAAATATTAGTATAGTTACAATTTAAATATTTGTTTGTCCCATAAGAGAAATATTGGCAATTCATGCCCACGGTTCCATTTCCCATTCACTGCTTTATATATATATATATATATTTATATTTATATATAGTTGTATTCAATTGTCATTCAATATGCTTATCAGCCCAACCGATTTGGAAGGCAAATGTGTTCAGCCCCATTTCGATTGCGTCACAAAACGTTTCCAACTTTGGCATTTCAATTACCGAAAAGCCAAAGCGCACAATCAGCATGACAAGTTCCAGGTACATTTGCTACAGTGATCGCTAGCAAATTAGAACTTTCACATATTAGCTGTTTCCTATTAGATTCTTAAATTTACTTATATTTTGGTAAACATTTTTATTGATTTATGTTATTAAAAGACTTTTAAATATGCATAAAGTGTTCATACTTTTATAATTGGTTCATTAATGATTTTAATCGAAAGCTTCCCTTGGCGTTCTCCTACGCGAGTGACTACTGTATTTAGAACTTGAGCGCTATGAATATTGATTTCATTTTTAGGTGAAACAATGTCCAAGGCGCATGTAAACCTTATTTAGCATTTGAATGTTCACACTTTAATTAAATATACAAATTGTTTTGGTTTGCATTAGAGTGACAATGAAATTGGCCTAAATCTTAGGTGCTAAACTTAATCGTGTATTAAGTGGTGCAATATTTAGTCTTGGAATGTGATGCAGAATCACAAAATAAAGTGCATTTAAGTACACGAAACACTAGGTCTTTTGTTTTTGTGGGTACATATTTAAATCTTAAATGCATAGACTTGGACCACAAAAGCTGTGTAATATGTGATTTTTTAAGTTCTAAAATGTATATAGCCATAATACTATATACTATAAGTTGGCAATTATTATAGTTTTCTTTTGGATATTTAAGGAAATTATGGGAACGACTACAGATACGAATATATCTAATTATGAAATACTGTGATATATATTTTTCAACTATTTTGTGCGCTGTGTGACGTGCCAGCCTTTTGTTTAGTTGCTTTCGCTGTTGTTGATTTTGCTGTGCTCAAGTATGTCTGTATTTTGCATTGGTTCCAGGTCTGTCTCGGATATGATCTCTGCCAGCCACTGCTCGATCTGTACCGGATGAAATGAGTCCTCGTCGCCGCTGTTTGCCTCTAAGATTATCTTCAGGTTCTCGAAGTTCTTCAATATCAAACGTCTGCCCGGCTGCAGCTGCGATGACAGCGTCGAGTCGCCGACCTCGCTGCCCTGCGTGCTGGAAACATGGACCGGCCCGTCTCCGTGCGCCCGCCGACAGTGGGCCACGCAACTGGAATCGGGTGCAACGGCAGCTGCCTGCACCGCATCGCTGCTTGTGACCGTGGCTGTTGTTGTTGCTGCTGCAGCTTCCGGCACGGGCTCATGTGTGCGAGTCGGCTTCTGCTTGAGGCTCTTTTTGATTTCATTTAGCAAACGATTGTAAAAGTCGCAGTTAACTTCTGGCGTGCCCGTCGAGCTGGGTTGTGTGGGCGTTGTCTCAACGGTCTCCGAATCCTGCTCCCTTTTCTCCTTAGATGTCTCCTCTTTGAGCTCCGTCCTCTTGGCGTTCTTTTGCTTCTTGGACTGCGAACGCGAGCTAGCGTTGCTCGAGTAATTGGAGCTGGTGGGCGTACAGCTGGACAGCTCGGTGGCGTTGCTGCTCGAGTCAGCCGACACAGTTTGCTTCAACTTTGTGTGTGCAGCTGCGGCGGCGGCGCCATCGGTGAGCGGCAGATCAGCACTGACAGCGTCCTCGCTGGCACAGTTGATGGTCAGGCTGGCAATGTTGCGCAGATTAATCGTGCCATTGCAGTTGTTGATGGTGATTTTTGGTTTGAAGCGGGGCTTGCGTGCCTTCGGCTTTTGCTTGATGGACGGCTGTTCAGGACAGCTGCGCCCCAGACTGGAGACCGCATCGGCTATGGACGATTCCAGCTCGTCGTCCAGCTCTTCGAGATTGAGCGGCGGCACATAGGTCTCTCGCTTGATTTTCGCTCGGCGTATCAGATCTTTGGCCTCCTGCAGCGTAATGTTGATAATGGAGCGCTTGGCATTGTCCTCGAGCAGCGACTTGTTGCGTGAAAAGTCCACCACAATGGCCTCTGGCTGAACCTCATCATTCAGATCGTAGTAGGTGCTGTTGTGCACCCCATTCTCTAGGCATTTGTACATGGTCTCATGATCATCCATCGGCTCTATGTAGTCCTCGTTGCGCAGCCCCGCCGTTCTGTTGTCCTGCGACCTGTGCAGCGCCAGCTGCATATTGCTGTCCAGCTGGAACTGGCCAAAGCTGCGTATGGCCGCCAGCAGTTTCTCCTCCTCGTTATCATTGCCAGTGACGAATCGCACCTCGCACTTATCTTTCTCTTTGTCTGTGTCGTATTCGATGTACACGGGCGCCGATTGTTGGCGCTGCGTATTTGCAATTACCTCCAGCTGTCGCAGTAGCAACTTTTCACGCATATGCAATGCGGCGCGTATATCATTGAATTTCTGTTGCACACTTGTTTTTACCTTAACGACAGAAATTATAATATGAAAAAGCTGCTGCATTACAGTTGTAACGCCCTAAACTGGTTTTGTAGTGCTTTACCTGGTCCAGGAGCTGCTCCATCATAGCTAGACGATTTTCCAAACAACATATGCTAAATAGCAAACATTTTAAATCAATTTTTAAGCGTAAAAGAAAAATATGCAAATTCTGTTGCTGTTTGATCGAACTACTGGAGCGAACATCTACGGCGAATAATAAACATATGTTTCGCGGCGAAATCAACGCAGCTAAAATGTATCGATAGGTCACCTGGAGTTATCGTTTTGCTTATTTGTAAAGAATAATGTAGCTATGCTTTCCAGCCGGCATAGAAAAACGTCATTGTGCCGTCAGATATCTTAAATTATCTCAACTTTTGCCTGCCCAACTATCGATACAAAAAGATATTACTATCGGCATATCAATGAGCCAAGAGCCGCTTAAGCGCTTGCATCTCTAATGTCAGTTTGCTTTTTCAAGGAATTGCTTGCTGTTAATAACAGTCAGTCTGCTTATTTTGGCCGTCGTGATTTCTTGGCGCGGATAAATTTTTGTTGATCACTCGATTTGCGCTTAATTCGAACACAAGATTTCAATAATATTTACGACTTTTTGACAACACATCCGACAACGACAATAAGAACAGTAAAAAAATAAATAAATATTTATAAAATCACCGTTAATTCAATAGCTGTCAGTGTTAAGCAGCAGTCGCTAGCGTCTCATTATTGTAATTATTTCGTTCCCACCTTCAATGTGTTTTTTGAATTTTTGTTTAAATTCTGCACATTTTGTACATTTGTTTATATAAAAGCAACACTCGCAATTGTGAATCATAGGCATCGAGCGCTCGCTGCTGTTGCTGTTGCTGTTGGTGTTGTTGCTTGCCTCGCACAACTAATCTAAAATAGTGTCAGTGTGTGAGTGCGTGTCTGTGTTGTGTCTTGTTTGTGTTTGCCAACGTGTTTTTGTTTTCTTTTATTTTGCTTCATACACGTTTTTCTAAAACAAAATCAAAAAAACATCTCACTTAAAAATTGATTGTGCACGTCAATTGTTACAATTGTACAACTGCAACAACAACAATAAGTTAAACAGCAGCAGCAGCAACAACAACAACAACAGCGCCAGCAACGTGGAGTGCAAAGACATAAAAAAAAACAAAGGCAAAAACCAAAAACAAAAAGAATAAGAGAGCGAGAGCGAGAGAGCGCGAACTGTGTCAATGCGGCAGCAGCAGCAGCCGCCGCCGCCGCAGCGATGACGCCAAAACTAACTAAAAAAAAAAATACATTTTCCAAGCAGCTACTTAACAAATGAAGCTATTTCATTTTAATCATTATTTTAAATTTAATTTTTGAACGTTTTTAATTGGATTTGTACGACATTTGACATCGCGACGTCGTTATGCCTACATTCGGCGTAACGTCAACGTCAACTCTTTCCTTTTTTTTTTTTATTGTCTTTCGCTATGTCTGTGCCCACACTGCTGCGTTATTTTATTGTTGTCTGTTGTCTGTTGAGTTTTTTTTTCTTTTCTTTTCTTATGGGTTTGCCTTTGCATGAGCGTAAGAGCGAGGCTGTGATATTAATTGTGTTTGTTTTCGAGTCGTGACTGGCGTCTTGTTAAGATTTGTATATGAATGCATGTAATTTTTTAAAGGCAATATTAAAATAGATTTGGTCTGGGCCTGGCCAGTACTTTCTTGTTAACCTTTTTCCGGTTTCGGTTTCAGTTTCGGTTTCCTCTTTATCTATGCCTTTATTACATAGAAAAACCTGTTTGGCTCCACGTAAAACAATTTGTAGTTGTGCGTTTTTTTTTTTAAATAAAAATTACCTCATTTCACACGTCGTGGCTTTTCATTTTAATATCAGACTGTCTTTATCAAACGCAAAGTAAATAATAATATATGTATATGTATGTATGAAACTGCCAGCAGAACGTATGCGAAACGGCGATAAAAATCAAAGTGCAATGTTTTACAAGCATCAACAGAAAGTGTCGCGAGTCGAAATAAATTAACGTATTCATTTATCCTCCCTCCCCCCAACAAACCTGTTACATATTTCAATTTACAATTCAAAATACGCAGCTGCAGCACAATTCGCGTGTTTGCATCGAAAACAAAACAAAAAGCCAAAATAAAGTGTTTCGGGGTCAATGCTGTTTATTTGTGGCCGCCGTCGCTAGCAAAAGAGTATCTAAGCGTGGTAAGTAAATACTCTACCTATTGTTATTGTTGTTGTTAAGCAGACAAAAGCGTGGGACTGCATACCTGGCTCAGTCGCTCTTGATCGTGAACGGAGCACACATTTAGTTCAAATACGAGTCGAAATGAATTAAACATGTGTTATTTTAAGTTCAGCCAAGACAATTGCTCAAAGCCAAACAAATAACATTTAAAAAAAAAAAACAGCTGATACAACAGAATTAAGAAGGTGGCAAGGGAGACACGGACAAACCGTTACAATTTGAAATGCAACATTGCGCTGCTGGCAGACAAATAAAATACTGTATGTATGTATGTGTGTATTTCCAATAGCTATGCATATATATGTATGTGTGTGCGTGTATTTCCCATATTTGAGCAGGCTGAGCCCTAAACAAACTTGTCAATTAAAAATAGAATTAACTCACTTTTGACACTAATTAACACCTAATGAAGAGCTCAATTGTAGTTGTTCCTTTTTAGTTGAAAATAAGCCTCGCTTTGAGTGTGAATATTTAATTTACTTTAATTGCATAGTAATTAATCAGAGACCAATGCAATTAAAACAAAAACCACTTATCCAAATATCTATTTGACGCTGTTTTTTTTTTTGTTTTTTGTTGACGTTGGGGATTATCCAAACAAAAGTGCACAGATATGTGTACACATTAATTATTCGCCTTTAATTAATATTAATTTGCGTTATGAGTGCAACCAGCAATTAGCATTTGCTCATACAAAGGCATGCTGCACATTTGTATGCACACACACACACACACTCACACACACACACACATACATACATGTGTATAGCCAATAATTTGTCCATTTGTGTGCAGTTAAATAAAATTGAATTGATATTCATTTCGCAATGTTGTGATTCGTGTGAATGTGGAAATTGCTTCGAGTGCAGCAAAATAAATTGGAAAAACGCCTGCACGAGTTCTAAACTGTGAATGCAAATAAACGAAACTGAGAGCGCACAATAAAAATAAAAATAAAAATATACAAAAAAAAAAATAGATATAGATATATTTTCGATTTGAATACATATACGTACAAATGTTATTCGAATATTTTGCAATAACTTTTGTGCACTCTTCCGTTTAATATGCTTTGTAAAGTGGCTTTCAAATGTTTGCCAATTGCTGACTTTTGAACCTCTAACGTGTGTGGGCCCCCTCCCACTTCCACTTCCACTCCCCCTCAATCACCTGACCCCGCCATAAATTTGCATGACAAAGCCGACTCAGCCCAAGTGCTGTTAGCATATTTTCGATTTATTCATGCTAGATAGTTGGCCTAGCTATGCTAAGGGGCACAATGAAAAATAAATATTAGCCAGAAATATTTTCAGTTTTTCATTGATGTATTTGTTGTTAAACTATCAATATTGTGTGCATGGCGTGTGTAAATGTTTTTAAGGTGCAAATAAATATTTATTCATGTAAATGAAAAGTACTTTTGTCGGCATTTAAGGCCATTTCCATCTAATACCTGCGTCCAGTAGGTAACTAAGCCAAGTTTATTTGCATTACAGCTCTGAATAAATGCTTTTAACACGCGCCAGCCGCAAATACTATTAATAAAATTGACTACGAGTAAGCGTATTTTGTGTGTATTTAAATAAAGTTTACTTGAGATATAAAACTATGGCTCAGCTCTTGTTTTTGGCTTTTATCAAAAGAAAGAAAGCATGATCCCAGCTTTTGGCCTAATAAGAAAGTTGTCCGCTTCAAAGACGAAAGTATCAAAACGAACATTTACTATTTTGTCCCAAAAAATATGGCAAACTGTCGATTAGATAATGATCCATCTTGTTTTTGGTACAACTTTTAAGGGAATATAACCTTTCAGCTTTTAAATACTTACTTACATACAAACTTTTTGTTTTTAGCATAACGATAATTTAATTTAAAAGCACTTCAAAATATAAATGATATCTACAAAAAATGATATCTACAAGTAAGAGGCTCTAGACGGGAGCTCCCGACTAGGGGATATCCCTGAACCCTCTTCTTCCAACATGAAATGAATATATTATATATTCTATTTTAGAAGTTATACCCATTTTTAATGGGTTCAGGGTATAATTATAAATTATGAAAACCAGCATCAAACTCAGCTTCATTTTCCATTTCCTTATTTATGCTTCACAGCAGGAAAAAAGTCTTTTATTTATAATATAAAAGCCAACTTTAGCTTCAGCTTCTCTTCCCAGATTTGTCTACTCAGTAAATTAATTCTTATAAATATTTAAACACATATTTTCTTTTGTTTTTACCTATCATTATTTGCTGCCGTCATCTTCTGTTTAATATTTTAGCTGTCATGAAACTTCGCAACTAAATGACTCGCAGAAACAGAGCCGAATGTTGTTCAGGTCATAACTCAGGTCAAGTGGATGGCTAGGGTGCTAGAGGGTATCTGTGGGTCGAGCATTTCGCCCGCATCGTTTTTTTTTTTTTGTGCTTGTTATCTGTTGCAATTAAATTTAATCACTTGCTCCAATTAGCAGTGCAACTGCGATAATTTCGTGTGTTTGCGCTTAACGCAATTATGCGGCCATATCACGGCCGGTTCTAGCCCCTCACCTGCCCTTCCCTAACCACTCACAATCATCCCCCCCTCCCCCGCGGCGTGCAGCACAGAAACATCAAATCAAATTACATTGCTAATACGCCACGTTGTGCGCACAGAGCGCCCAGCCCCAGAGTGAATCAGTGAAAGCGCAACGCATTCATTCTGCAATTTGTTTGCATTTATTTACCCACTTTATGCTTGTCCCATAAATGGTCGTGCTCCGTGGCTAATGAGTGGCTCCGGCTCCGGCTCTGGCTCCGGCTCCTGGTCCCGATGTGGTCTCCTTGGCTTGGACCTGTTCCCAGCTAGTTAGTTAGCCCAGCGCGCCGAGCACTCATTCGTGTTCGTCTTAATGCTGGTTATGTTTAAAGCTTTGCACAATTTTTATTCTGTTGTCCTTTTTGTTGGCTCCATTTTATTCGCGTGTTTCCGAGTTGCCGCTCAGCTCCTG